AGAATGAAGTGTATTGTGATCTTTCTCGTGTTGTCCATGGTCGTGCTCATGGCTGAACCTGGAGAAGGCTTTCTTGGAACGCTTCTCCATGGAGCTGTTCACGGTACAGTCATGGACTCACTTAGCCTTTTAATGGCAAATATTAAGACACAACACACCTTTCTCATTGTCCAACATACCTTAAAAGGACCACAAACCAATAATAAATGTATATTATTGAACAAATATTGCCTGTATACCAACATCTTATATACAGTGAGGAAAATAAGTATTTCAACACCCTGCTATTTTGCAAGTTCTCCCACTTAGAAATCATGGAGGGGTCTGAAATTGTCATCGTAGCTGCATGTCCACTGTGAGAGACATAATCTAAAACAAAAAATCCAGAAATCACAATGTATGATTTTTTAACTATTTATTTGTATGATACAGCTGCAAATAAGTATTTGAACACCTGTCTATCAGCTAGAATTCTGACTCTCAAAGACCTGTTAGTCTGCCTTCAAAATGTCCACCTCCACTCCATTTATTATCCTAAATTAGATGAACCTGTTTGAGGTCGTTAGCTGCATAAAGACACCTGTCCACCCCATACAATCAGTAAGAATCCAACTACTAACATGGCCAAGACCAAAGAGCTGTCCAAAGACCCTAGAGACAAAATTGTACACCTCCACAAGGCTGGAAAGGGCTACGGGGAAATTGCCAAGCAGCTTGGTGAAAAAAGGTCCACTGTTGGAGCAATCATTAGAAAATGGAAGAAGCTAAACATGACTGTCAGTCTCCCTCGGACTGGGGCTCCATGCAAGATCTCACATCGTGGGGTCTCAATGATCCTAAGAAAGGTGAGAAATCAGCCCAGAACTACACGGGAGGAGCCGGTCAATGACCTGAAAAGAGCTGGGACCACCGTTTCCAAGGTTACTGTTAGTAATACACTAAGACGTCATGGTTTGAAATCACGTATGGCACGGAAGGTTCCCCTGCTTAAACCAGCACATGTCAAGGCCCGTCTTCAGTTTGCAAATGACCATTTGGATGATCCAGAGGAGTCATGGGAGAAAGTCATGTGGTCAGATGAGACCAAAATAGAACTTTTTGGTCATAATTCCACTAACCGTGTTTGGAGGAAGAAGAATGATGAGTACCATCCCAAGAACACCATCCCTACTGTGAAGCATGGGGGTGGTAGCATCGTGCTTTGGGGGTGTTTTTCTGCACATGGGACAGGGCGACTGCACTGTATTAAGGAGAGGATGACCGGGGCCATGTATTGCGAGATTTTGGGGAACAACCTCCTTCCCTCAGTTAGAGCATTGAAGATGGGTCGAGGCTGGGTCTTCCAACATGACAATGACCCGAAGCACACAGCCAGGATAACCAAGGAGTGGCTCTGTAAGAAGCATATCAAGGTTCTGGCGTGGCCTAGCCAGTCTCCAGACCTAAACCCAATAGAGAATCTTTGGAGGGAGCTCAAACTCCGTGTTTCTCAGTGACAGCCCAGAAACCTGATTGATCTAGAGAAGATCTGTGTGGAGGAGTGGGCCAAAATCCCTCCTGCAGTGTGTGCAAACCTGGTGAAAAACTACAGGAAACGTTTGACCTCTGTAATTGCAAACAAAGGCCACTGTACCAAATATTAACATTGATTTTCTCAGGTGTTCAAATACTTATTTGCAGCTGTATCATACAAATAAATAGTTAAAAAATCATACATTGTGATTTCTGGATTTTTTGTTTTAGATTATGTCTCTCACAGTGGACATGCACCTACGATGACAATTTCAGACCCCTCCATGATTTCTAAGTAGGAGAACTTGCAAAATAGCAGGGTGTTCAAATACTTATTTTCCTCACTGTAGCTACTCTTCTGCGTCACTGACCTCCGTTTTATAAAAAAAAAAAAAAAACTGTTAAAAACTATGAGAACCCGCCTAGGCCTAAATTTAATACTTCGCTTGCACAAACATACACATATATTGTCATTCGTAAGTATGTATGTATGTATGTATGCGTGAGGTGAGTATGTATGTGCGAGTTAGAGTAGAGCCAATGGTGTGGAAGACCCAGGTTTGATTTCCACTGACTGCCAGTGTCATTGCTCTTCATGCAGCAGGTCCGGGCATTATGGGGACATGAAAACTTTATTTGTTGTTCTTATGCTTCCTTCATTATTTTGAGCAAATCCCACATACACCATTCCTGTGAATATTCACTTGAGCATCAATATATCAAGTATGTTAATTTGCTGCTGAAAATTGTCACCACCAAAAACACTGTATACTCCTGTTCTTTGCTATACTCACGCAAATATATGTGTGACACTTTTTAAAGAATTCTTCAGTAGAAACCATTGGGCTTTGGGCTGAGAGCCACAAATGAGGCAGAGAAGTCAAAAAGTACTGATAGATGGACTAATGCTTTGTTTGTTTTGGTCACGGGATAAGTTGTCCAAAACATTGAATAAAACCAGCCTCAGCCTGTAAAAATATTGTGCACATGTTGAATGTATCTGCGCCATTTCAACACTACTTACTTAAGTATGCATGACACAATATCAATGTTTATCAACATACAATGCATTCATATTAAATTAAAAAGACTACACAATGTTGCTTTTTCTTAAAATAACAGCTTCAAAATAATTAATTGTACACTAACTTTTAAGAGTATAAATGGCATCACTTCCGCTCTGGGCCAGGAAGCTTGCTATGACAATATGTAAGATTGAAATCCCGGGCAGGTTTTCTATCTAACAGTGTAATGCTTTATGGCACCACAACACATCAAGAAAAATCTTTAGCTAGCAAGCTCTGAGAAAAGGTAAAAAAAGTATAGAATGTACGTTGTCTGAGGAAGCAAGGAAGAGAAAAAGAGAGAGTGAACAAACAAAAATCCATTGCACTGACTTTTACTCATCAGTACTTACTAATCAGTAATAACTTATTAGCTGGCTTGCAATGTCTTGTGTTGTTGCCCTTGCTTGATGTTTGGCTGTGTTAGCAGTGTTATCGAAATCAGCCATAGGTTTCACAAACAGAGGTTTAGCCGCTAGCTATAAATCTCGAGTTGAAACTTACTAGATACTAGGACATCGGTAACGTTTCTGTATGTGGTCTTTGCATAACCGGGCTCAGCAGCCTCTATGGACATAACGTTAGCTAATGGCAGAGGCGAATAGACAGAAGTGGACATTCACGGAGGAAGTTAAGAAGAGAAAAACAGAGTGACCAAGCAAGAGGCTGCCAGCCATTGGGGAGAGCTTCATGAAATAAAAGGCAGCAAGACAGATGGCGAACTGGCAGTCTTTGTGTTGGACTACAAATTAATATTGTTATGTCTTGTGTTGTCGCACTTGCTTGATGTTTGGCCATGTTAGCAAAGTTGGAGAGTTTTTGTTTTTGATCATTTTGCACCAAATGACAAATGCACGTGTACAGCTGTCCTTATTTACAAAAGTGCATTACAATCTGAAGCTGTAGGGATGCTGAATCGCACAAGAAAACACATCTTACATAATAATGTGACTGTCCTGTACTACAAAGAATAATATTATGACAATGTATTGATTGACGTGTGATAGATATATACAGTATAGACATACACATGTGTGAGTTTAAATTTAATGTATTTTTTTCTTTTGTCTTTTTGTTTTATTTAGTCAGCAAGATACTCCATGGGTAAGGACATGTGCTACTACCATTGTTCTTTGTTTTTACTACAACTAAACAACTAACGTTTCAAAATATTAGTGTAAGTTGGTTTATACTTACTATAAATGACCCTTGTTGTGTCGAATCTTCTCTACATTCACCAGGATTATGGGTGGGGACCACGGTGTCCAAGAGCAGGAAGAGCAGCTGGACAAACGTTCAACCGATTACAACTCAGGGCGGCCTGGTTTTTCCTAGACTAAAGGGGCCATTGGAATGAAGGATGCTTTGAATGAAAAGAAATGCTTCTTGTTCACCACTTAATATATATATTGCACTGCAGCTAACTGATTGAAATTGTTTGGGAATAAATTTGCATTGGAGTGTTTCACTGTGTCTTATTTGAAAAAGATATTTAATGGTGGCAAAACAAGTTTTACTTTTAACTCTTATTTCATATTAAATATAATATGATCAAACATTTTGTAATAGTATTATTAGTTATAATCACATCTGATAAATCTGAGATGTGACAAAAATATGACCCATTTCTGAAGTCACTCTAAAAATCAAAATACTGGCCAGGTCATCCACGGGTACCAACTTGTACTATTACCACTATTACTATTAATGCTACTATAGAATATTAAAATTACTAACTGATAAATTGTAATATTAGTAATAAATATACAACAAAGTAAATAAGTGACAATAAATAGAGCTGCTGCAGGGTTCTCATTTTCAAACGTGTCAGCCAGAGAAGATTCAGCTGATGTCATATGTTTTGTTGATACATTTTAAAAGGATATTCATGATACGGGGACTAAGAAAACAACTTCAGCCTTGTATCATTACAGTCACATGTATTTGAGAGTATAACGGTGCCTGACAACCCTAAACAATAATGTGCACAGCTCTACACTTATGTAGCTAGAGTTTGCAATAGCTTCACTTACGGATATTTACAAGCTTCCTCATAGCTGTAAATCCTGGAGGTCTGGGTAAAGCTTAAAACATTAGCATGATGTGCTAGAAAATTTAAACCATGGGAAGTTTCAAAGCCTAAACCCAGTATGATGCAACTCAACAGTGTTCATATTAGACATTAGAAGATACCAAGACAGGAGACCCCTGACAACATAGCGGCTAAATGAACTTGTGAGATGAAGGGAGGTCAAGGCCCCAACTGCTGCTGCGATTGATGACCCTGTTGGTGAGCATACCAAATTAGCGAGCTCTAACTATAATTACTAACTTCCCCTTGATTTTTCAGAACACTGGCATGCACCTGCCACGTTCCTTGTTTAGATTAGATCAGCATTTTAACACTGCATTGCAAAATGCTGTGTTTTACCTTCCTATATTGCAAAACACTATGTACACAATGAGAAATGTGTCCATTGGTATAAAAAAGACATGTATCTGCCACCACACACAGATCTATGCCACACCGCTCGCTTGGTTTGTTTGACAGCAACCTTTTGACTCTTCACTGAATCAAAAATAAGTAAGGACAAAATCTTTAATCCTCATTCACTAACAGTATAAGCAAAACAGTAAGAGATCAATCAATTTGCTACAGTATATATAATGTGTCTTTCAAGCTTGCATAACCAGTAAAAAAAATAACTGTACACTTCGTTTTTAAAAGTCATTGACTCTGGAATGTCATTTGGTTCTTGTTTTTCAGGATGAAGTGCATCACGCTCTTTCTTGTGTTGTCGCTGGTCGTCCTCATGGCTGAACCTGGGGAGGGTTTTATTCACCACATTTTCAAAGGAATTGCCAATGGTACTAATCATGAATTCTCTTTTCACAGCAGACATTTTGACATGACTGAGCTAGAAATGCACAGGTGTAACTAATAATATAAAGACCTGTCACTATTCACAATAAGATGGTGCTTGACCTGGCACACCTAAACACAAGGCAGCCATTACTGAGATCATTGATTACAATTACTTCAAAGAGGATTATGAATTAATTAATTAAAAACATCCAAGTTCTTAACTTATATGAGAGGAAAATATTTTCTTATTTGAGATTTTTATATGTACTATACACATAACATATTTAATTATATTACATTATGCACTTCTGCACTTCCACATTTTTTAATATTTTTATCAACACCACCAGTTGTTGTTATCATACAGATTACTGATTTATATATTGAATTATACAGCACAATGTATTTAGTATGTGTATGATATTAAAAAATTTCCATGTCCAAGCACTGCAGAAAACCATGTTTGACTGTTGTTGACTGTACTCTGCTGTAAAGACTTTTACAAAATACATGAAGCGTGAGTTAAGACTTAATGTAACTGTTTTCTTCTTTTGTCTGTTTTATTCAGTCGGGAGGATGATCCATGGGTAAGAACATCTGCTTCTACTACTGTTACTATTCCTACATACACTTAAATTACTACAAAAGATATTAAAATGCATATAACTTGGCTACACATAGCCCCTTTATTAAATGTAAATGGGCTAAATCCTCTCAATTCTTTCTCCCTCCACCAGGATTGTCACCGGGAGACGCGGCATGAGAGAGCAGCAAGAGCTAGACAGACAAGAGCAGGCAGCTTTCGACTAGACTTCATGAATCTGTGAGGGTTCACCTGAAGGAGCCACTCAAAGCAATGTTTAAGATGAAAAGAAATGCTTTTTTTGTCGTGTTGACCTTTTTGATTTTGTATTGATTTTGAAATGTTTTGGGTCAATGCTGAAATAAATTAACTGCCCCTGTGATACTTTATTAATTTTGGACAATTGGGAATTAATTAATAAAATATGCATTATAAAAACTAAAAATTCCTCTGCTGTCTTTATTTGACTGTGTTGATAAACACATTAAGATTAAGTATTCTGGTTTATGTAAAGAAAAAAATAATCTACTTGTGTCTGCCTTCTTCATCTAATGTACTACTGTACATGTACAGAAACTGCCCGTGGAGCAGAAGGGCAAACGCTAGCTTGATCTTCATTTTTAGTATGAATAGAAAAATTACAATCAAAATATGAAAGAGATAGAATAAATACTATTACAACAAATAAGTAATATGAAATAAAAGTAATAGGCTAATTATTATAACATTTAATATTTAATGTTGATCAATGGTTGTCACCTTTTGATATTAAACTTTAGGGATATATATGCATTATTTAGTTACATATGGATTCTGTAAACATAAGCTGCTTTTATGATAGGTCTTTTGCATGGGTTAACGTTTTTTTTTTTGCATGTTTGCAATACCTTTTCAATTCAATTCAGATTAGCTTATTGGCATGAATGTGTAACAACAATATTGCCAAAGCATCATACAAACTACATCAGAACAATCAACATCATACATTTCATTAAACAAGTAATTAAAGCGTAAAGTAATCAAAGCCTATGTGTGTTTTTTAAAAATATATATATATTAAAAATTAAAATAAAATACAATAATAACTTCACTGGTCGACTTTGCAAGACAAATGCAAACAAGTCGTGGTATGATCTGTGATAAGACGTCTGATGCAGAGGTTCTTCCTCGAAATGCTTGCATTAGTGAATGATTTAATACCAGCTACAAGACGTTCATATGCGTGACCCTCTGATGTCGCTGATAGCCTATGTGCTGACCAAAACCAATGATAACCTGAGGATGCTACATGATGATATCCAGGTAGGATTTTCCCGAGCAGATTGTATGACCAATAATTCAACCACATTTCCACAACATAAATTTTATTTGCACCATTTCAGTTTTTGCCTTTGTGAACACATTGGTCCAGTAGGAAAACTGAAATAATATATCATCCTCGCACTAGTTTGATTCAGGAACTGGGCCTTCAGGTGTGAACCCGCCCTAAAAGTCAGAACTGAAAACTACATATGGACCTTCCAATTAGAAAACATGTTGTAGTAGCCCTGTATCTTCAGACGCACATAAGCGTTTTGTTATGTTGTTTCATATCAGTCCTACATCCATCAATCACTAATCTCCTTCAACCTTGCATCCCTGAATGCAGAGCCTAGAAATGCTGCAATGTAACTTGTACACAGAACTCAAATGGGCATTAAATCAGTGTGATTTAAAAGATAACAGAAATGTGCCATCTCTTTTGGAATCCTGGTCTAAGACACTGACAATTGGTTGATAATGAGTGGGATGACTTCAGTTTCTTTGCTAATATTAGATCAGCATCTGTATCTCTGTAATGAGACTTTCTATGTAGCAAAATACTGCACAAACAATGAGTAAGGAATTTACTGATTGCTATAAAACGAGATGTGTGTGATCCAACACAGAGAGTTACAGGACCTGTAGATCTCATACTGCTTTCTTGGCTCTCTTAATAACATCTTTTTGACTTTCACCCTCAGTCAGTGGAAAGAAGTAAGTATCTCATCTTGATTTATCTGCAACACAAGTGTTGCACATTTGCTGAGAATTGCTAGAGTCTATTTTATAATTAGAAACTGGTATTACAAACTAGTAACTGACTCTGTGTGTGTTTGGATGTGGTTTTTCAGGATGAAGTGCATTGCGCTCTTTCTTATTTTGTCACTGGTCATCCCCATGGCTGAACCTAGGAGAGGTTTTGTTCACCACCTTTGCAAAGGACTTTCTCACGGTAACCACTCACAGAATTTATTGCCATTTTTCACATACATTTCGACAGGACATAACTGGAAATGCACAGGTGAACATACAATAACATTAATAATGACTTATGAATAAATAAATAAATGGAATTTGATATGATGCATGCATGTAATGTGTACATATAGCTAACCTGAACCTTAATACGTTTAGGTTTAATTATTCATTATCATCATGATTTTGCTTATTTTAAACTGTATTTGATAAGATTTTAGAAGCTTGGATTTTTTCATTAAATATACAAACGTGTTTTGATGTTGTCAATGTTCAGAATGGGATAAACACTATGTCCAAGTTTACACAATAATTTAATGAATGTAAATAAGGTCTTAAATTGTGTTAATAATAATTCCATACAAGAGTTTTCCCTTCTGTGAGGTATAACATAATGTGAGTAATATAATTATAATTATAATAATTATAAATAGTACTATAATTATTTTAACCTGTTTTTTTTTTATTTTCTCTTGTCTGTTTTATTTAGGCGGAAAGTTTATCCGTGGGTAAGTACTTGTCCTTGACAATACTTGACTTTAATAATTTCTGTGTGTTGTTATGTTCTGGAGCTAAATTCTTTCAATTCTCTCTCCACCCACCAGGACTTTCAATTATTTCAAGAAACAAGGCGTGAAAGAGCAACAAGATCTGGACAAACGTTCATTTAATCAAGAGCAGGCAGCTTTTGATTAGACCTTCTGAATCTATGATGGTCCTTCTGAAAGAGCCGCTGTACAACTTTGTTTTAGATGAAAATAAATGCTTCTTGCTTTTCAACATAAAAAAGTACCGACTCATTGCATCAATACATTGACCGAATTGATCTTGGATATTTGGAATAAATCTGCATGTCTGCAAATCTGATGTATACATCAAAACATTTCTCCTTGTTTCATTTAAGACAAAATATTAATCACTGAACTGGATGTAAATTGTGTGTTAAGGCCTTAACCCATTTAAACACCTATGAGAGATATTTAGGTAGATTTTTTCTCTCTTTAATTTGTCACAAATCTTGTTTAAGGTAGTTTTTTTTAGCATTTTGTTACTATATGCTGAAAAGGAATACTAAAATACAGCATATCAAAATTTGTAGTAATGTGTATGTAGTATTTACATTCACTTATTCAAGCAGAAAATAAAACTGTCACTTTCATATACATTTGTATCCAAACATGGTAAATAACATCCTTATTTTTAGCTTCCTGTCTACACCAAACCTTAGCCACAAAGGGTTGATAATATTAAATGTCTGCGAATTGTCCTGGGCATCTGATCTGACTACAATAAGTAAGACTTCAGATGTTTATTTTTGAACAAAATCATCAAATGTAGAGCCTAAACAGTATAGAAAAATATGTTAAAGTACAAATTATCTATATCATTCAGGTGATACATTGCTTATTCCTACTTTTTGTGTGGACTGAAGCTATACACATGAGCAGCCAGACACAAGAAACATAAGATAGGTATGTAGGAAAGGTAACATCATTTCATCAGTTTTTGGGAAAGTTACATAGAACTATAGAAATGCATATAGTGCTTCAGGAGTCTATAGTGCTTTTTTCATTGTGTGTAATTCTGCAGCTGGGGCTGTAAGGTGCCTATTACAGGCTAGCATGTACATGTTTGCAGCCTCGCAAACACAGGTGAATATTGCTTATCATTTCTTTGTTTTAATATTTTATCACATGTATGCAACTTTAAACTGCATTTGTATATTACAACTTGAGCTAGAGTTACTAATATACTCATTACTGTAGTCGAGGTATGTCAACAATAAGGGGGCCTCAGAGACCAAAGATTTGCAGCAGTTGTATCTGCCCCAGGAGCTGTAATATGATCCACGTGACTAAAACTCTATCATGTAAGCAGATCGGTTATGTATTAAAGAAATCACTGAATGTGTAATGGCCTCTATCTTTGGGGCATGCACATTCAGTCAGGGAAATACCTATGAAAATGACCTATGAAATCATGAAAATAAAACTTATATTTGTCAAACACAAGAAGCCTGAACAAGGATCTCCCATGTTTCTGATCAATGTAACTCAAGGACGAATGGTATAAACATTACATATGCATTTGGTTTCAGTAGTCAAAGGGCGAAAAAGTTTATAGATTTATAAGTCAGGACCGTGAACTGTGGCACCACCTATATAAATTTACTTTACTTTAATTCATTTTTAAACACAAAATAGACAGACCCAGGTTTCTATTCAATTAATTGAGTGGGTTAACAAAACATACCACCAAGAAGAAACATTTTAAACACAAGCCACTAGATGTCAAACAGTGATTATGTGCACACACCAAGACATGCAATACGCCCAGTCCAAAGTAGTGTGTGACATAACACCAACGCAATAAGGGTCCAAAGACAAATATAAGTATTTGGTCCCTGTTGTTTAGATATTTTTAGTTAAGTTATACTCAGGGAAATTACTTATACTTAGGGAATAGCTTGGGGAAAGTTGTCCTTCGCACTCGACCAACCCTATTTAGGAGCATTCAGAAGCCACATTAATGTGGCTGTCTGGGGACCCACTGGAGGTCTCAGGCAAGTACCCTGATCAAGGGCAATGGCAGGAAAATACCTGTGAGAAAACCGGAACACCAAGAAGAAACGCATGTAAACATCAAGCGGAAAAAGCCCCAGTTTGCCGAGGCAGGTTTTAAACTCAGGACATTATTGGTTGTCAGACGACAGTGCAGCAATGTACT